TTGGTCATATTCTACCTGCCCTTGTAAACTTAAAATACCATGTTACCTTGCACATTTCCTTCCCTTAAAAAAAAACACAGAGCACATATTACAATTATATGTATGCCCTTGAAGTAGTGTTTCTGACTTCTTTGCCCTTCTCTCCATTATTAAATAGATGGTGATGTAAATAAGGGACATTTGAGAACAAAGAAATGATCTCTGACTTCCTCTGGGGAGGTAACTCCAGGCATCTGCCTTGGCCTGCTGGGAAGGGAGATGGTGAACCCAGGTGGGAAGAGGCCCCTGGGTGCCCAGAGCCGGTGCAATCTAGGTGAAGTGGATGGAAGGTTCCTGGTGGCTGATTAAAATAAGTGTTGATTAGACAACATGGTGCTGTTTTGAAACTAATTTCACACACATTATTGAGCCGTCTTCTCAGCGGCCTTTATCCCCCCCGGCGTTAGACACTGAAGCGCAGTGATTTATTGGCTGTTAGACAAATATTGGAACAAGGACTTGACTGGGGCCTTCTGCCTTCTGATTCCATGGTGTTCTTTTCCTGCCACGCTACTGTTCCTGCTGAGATGGAGGGGGTGGCAGCTGTCCCCTCCATTCTCCCTGTGGGTTGTCCTAGGTGGCCCTTCAATGCCGAATGGATTCACGGTCCGCGTGATGGTCTCGGCTTTCTTTTCCCTGTAACACTTCACAGAATCAAGTTTCTGATACATTTGGTTCTCCCTTTTCCTGACCGCACCAAAACCCTCAATTCCCTACCCTTTTCCATGAAAATAAAAATGAGAAAATAGGGTATTATTTTAATTCTGGACTGTCTTCCAGATTCTCATACTCGTTTTGACTTTGAAATAAAATGTTCATTTTCATGGTTTTTTGGTGGCACTAATCCTTTATTTTTTTTTTCTCTCAAGTTACGCTGCTGTTGGCAGTGTTTCTTATGTTAAGATATTTTTTTTTTAAGTTTTAGGATTTTTTGGTTTTATGCTCTCAGATGCCAAAGCACTTTTTATTTATATAAGTGATAGCTGTGGCACAGAAATATTACCCTTCCCTGAAGAAAGGAACTACGTTTGTGACAAAATTGAGGTTTGGTCAGAGCCTTAAAAGTATTTGTTTGAGACACAGTCTTGATGATCTGTGTGCTCTGCAGGGAGTTTGCAGTAGGACAATCCTAAATTAGTATCCCCAGGGCATAGTTCTTGCCGTCTTGGCAATAACTTTTCCTGCAGACTCGCTTGCTTACTCTGTAGCACATCTTCCTTTATTTTGATATTTCTGTGACTTGTGCAGAAGGTATTTTAATTTCCATGTCATAGATATGGAAATCGAGATATTAAGTGGAATGTGACTGTTAATAATAACAACTGAGATATTTTTATGGCCAGACTTTGTGCTCTGTTTACATGTATAGTTTTTTTTGTTTTTAATCTTCACAACCTTTGAGGAAGCTACTCTTATTACCCTCATTTGACACATGAGGGAAGTGAGGTTTTGAGAGGTTGAGGGACACTGTTACGTGGATAGTAAAGTTGGAACCAAGCTCTGTGTCGCCAGGTAAGGATACTCGGAGAAGGAAGTGTGGAGACTGTGTTGTGGGAGGAGAACCTGTGATGAGTGATAAGATTGGGGTCCAGAGAGAAGGGTTGTTTCTGGCATGTCAGTGGGAAGCAGGAACGAGAGGGCTCCATGGCAAGTGGGAGCACGCTTATAAATGCATGTAACTCCTCTGGGGCTGGGCTGGTGTCCTTGACACGTCCTCCGTCACGTAGGACATCACCTTCTTTTTGGCTCCTGACTGTGCTTTACTTTGTGACTAGTGCAGAGTGTGACATATAGCAATGCCAGATAGACCCCAGCTTAGAAGGGCTGTGGCTTAGAAAAGAAAATATTTCTCAAATCCATCTGTTTCTTTTTTTTAAAAATATATTTTATTGATTTTTTACAGAGAGGAAGGGAGAGGGATAGAGAGTTAGAAACATCGATGAGAGAGAAACATCGATCAGCTGCCTCCTGCACACTCCCTACTGGGTATGTGCCTACAACCAAGGTACATGCCCTTGACCGGAATCGAACCTGGGACCCTTGAGTCCGCAGGCCAACGCTCTATCCACTGAGCCAAACCGGTTTGGGCTCCATCTGTTTCTTTCTCTGTAAAACGAGAAGATTGGATGAGGTGATCTGTAAAATCCCTTCAGAACCACCACCTTGTAATATATAGGAATTGTTAAACATGGGCAGAATAAATTCTAAATTTAGGATTTGAATTTTATGATTGTCTTGTCCTTTTCCTGAAATAATCGTTTAAAACACCATATTCTGAAGTCGTCTCATAGAATATTACTTTATTTGGGTATTGGGCTTAAATTCTTTTGGGGGGGGGGCTGAAAATTTTTATGGCAATACTAACTATCTCACTAATACAAACCTATCTTTTTTTTTTCCCCTCCTAGGCCCTGCAGGAGCGGCTAAAGATGTGTAAGTATTTAATATTATGATTTCCTAAACTCTTTCTAAGGAACACACTCATTTTATGATTATGACCTTTAGATATATGTAGTTATGGCCGAAGAGACACGGAAATACTTTCTTTACCATGTACAAATCAAGATTATCATTTGGTTTATGACTAAAGTGCTATTTGAAGAATGTGATTGTGACCACCCCCCCACAGATTTTTTTAAAAATTTGTTTTTAGAAAGAGAGGAAGGGAGAGGGAGAGAGAGATAGAAACATCAATGATGAGAGAGAACCATTGATCTATCGGCTGCCTCCTGCATGCCCACTGCTGGGGATCGAGCCCGAGACCCGGGCATGTGTCCTGACCAGGAATTGAACCGTGACCTCCTGGTTCAAAGGTTGATGCTCAACCACCTAGCCATGCTGGCTGGCAGAAAAGTTAAAAGAGGAAAAAATCAGCTGCTATTTTACCACCAGAGACAACCATCATTAATAGTTTACACTATTCCATTTTTTCTAATTCTGCCTGATTGTGTGTATATATGATCTTGTACATTGAAGTCTGTTACTCTTCTATTTAATTTTTGCGTGGAGGATAGGTAGGTGTACTTTTAGGCTAAAGGGTTGAAACCATAGAGTCAGAAAAGCTGAGGGTGGTTTGGGGAGGGAGTTATCTGTGGTGAGGGAGAAAATAAATGATGGAAATAGGTATTAGAACAGGCGACAAGGATTAAAAATGTAGATTAACCTTAGAAACTCGAGATAAGGAGGAATGCATGGGTGAAGATATATAAAATTTAATCGCCTTAAGACAGACTCGCATGCATATCCTGGAGTGAGCCTTCCTTTTTCTCTCTCCCTCTGTCTCTTTAAAATTAAATCACAGGGCAGTAACATGCAGAACAAAACAGAAGTGGCTTCAGTGTGATGACATTTGGCTGCTTTCACAAACCTGCCAAGATCAGCCATGCTTTTAAAAATTGCAGTGAATGATCTTAGCTCTTTGGCACAAACAGGTTGTGTTGGGATATTTTTGGCCGGAGATGGCAGAAGCCCAGCTTAAACTGGCTTAAACAAACAAACAAAAAGGAATTTATTGGCACGTGTAACGGAAAAGCTCCAGGGGTTTGGCCTAATCAGCTGGGTTCAGGTAATCAAATGACAGGTACTAACGCTCTCATCTCCGCCTTCCTGTTTTTGGCTCCACGCATAGGCAGCTTTCCCCAAGTGGTGATGGAGATGCCAGTTTAAATCTTATCAGCTTAATGATTCCTGTGGGAAGAGGGCTTCTCTTTCCCTGTGGTTTGATTAAAAGTTCTAGGGCGAGGCTCTCCCTGGCCAGGACTGGGGTCCTGTGCCTCTTTCTGAAATAGTCAGTGGGCCAGGGCACGTGAGCTTCTCATTGGCCAGGCCTAGGTCATGTGCCCACTGCTGCAGCCAGTCAGTGCTATTAGCTCCACATGACTATTTGGCCAAAAAGTGAGAGAGTGGCAGTTCCCACTCCAAAGAAAAATTGGGATGCTGTTACCAGAATGGGGGCAATTACATCTGGGCAGGCAGAAGCAAAGCATGTTCTCCATGTAGGCCAATTTTCATGTTATTAAAAAAAAATCTCAAGTTAAAATTTTAAGCAGTAGTTATAAAAATGTTATAAATATGTTTCAAATAAGAAATGCTATTAAACACGTTGACTCAGACTTAGTAGTTGCTGTTAAAAGGAAAAGACCATAGCCACTCACTGTAAGCAAGATAACTCAAGTGCTTCTTTCACTTAAAACTTGTAAAGTGACATTTCATTAAGGTTCCTTTCTTGACAAAGCAGTTTTATTCTTATGGAAAGTGGCAGCTGGAGAGAAAATTATCTTGGAATGACTTAACATAAAACACGCTGAAGCTCTGTCTTTTAAAAAAAATGAAATTACGAATCTCTAGTCTTGAGTTTCCTTGGGATCCTTTATTCATTTCTGTATCTAAAGCACTTATATCAGCTCTCTGTTCCTCGTTACGAACCTGAGGGTGTCTGATGGACCCATCCTCTGTGAAGTAGCGGGCAGGGTGTGGAGGATGGGGCGGGGTAGCATTGGAAAAGCGTGCATTTGGGGAGCAGAGAGACCTGCTGCCATTTACTAGCTGTGTCCTTGGTATTCTTATCTGCAAAATTGGAATAGCACTAACTGTGCAGGGCAGCCATCTTCATCTTTACCATCATCCTCTGCAGTTAGTAGCTCCTCTTGATTGAGGGCTGTGAGCTGTATAGCGACTCTAGCACTTCAGGTACATTATCTCATGCCGTACCCATGGCAGTCCGATGGGGACAGTAATGCTGTTTCATTTTGCAAATGAGGAATGAGGCAGAGAGCGCTTAAGTAACTACTCGAGGGTTATGATGGTTATTGGTACAGTAGGTTCTGTGTCCTAGTATAATACTTGGCATATGCTTTGCTGCCTCCTGTAAATGCTAGAGAAGGATTGGGTGGTTTAAGTGTTGTCGAGAAGATTTAGCAGAGCCTCCGCCATGAATACCTGATGGCAGAAGACCCGTTGCCTTGAGGGCCTTGCCTTCATAGAGATCACACAGTCCCAGTGGCGGAATATGACCTTGAAGAGATAAAGTAGATGGGTGGCTTCCTCTAGGGATAGAGACCAGCAAATGTTGCTGAAATGCTTGACTACAAGGCGTGAGCTAGAGAGATGGGGAGGGACGCCCACAGGGGCTGATGAATGGCGTGTGTGTGTGTGTGTGTGTGTGTGTGTGTGTGCGTGTAGGGACTGGAGGTGAAGTTGCAACAAGACAGCGGGCGTCTTGGGACTGGGAACAGCGGAAGGAAGACTCTTCCCCCCCTTAGGGAGTGGGATTTTCTCCTCTGAAATGTCAGAGGTGAAGTAGTTCCAGGAACCAAGCTCCACTGAGCAGCCGTGGGAGTAAGTTATTAGAGCAGCAATTAAAATGGTTGGGATAGAGGAAGTCAGTGAAATGCGAGGCAAGAGGTCGATTGAATGATCATGATGCTTAAAAAGAAAGCCAAGGTCTTCAGTGCGTTGGGGCTGTTTGTAGCAGGGCTCCGGCGCCCCAGGGGAGAGGTTTTGAGTGAAAGAGCTCTGTGGGGAGGTTGGGGAGCATGCTGGCTCCATCTCCTGTTTGGAGACTCTGGGATGTGAGAAAACAAGCTGCATGTGGTCCAGGTTCTGGAGAAGTGATACCATCAGGGAAAAGCAGGGGTTCTTTAGGTAAGGAGGCGGAGAGAACATTCCTGACTGACTTATGGCAGATGATACTTTCACAGCCAGTGATGAAATAAGCCCAACCCCGTGTGCTTCTTAGGAGAGCAGTAGAGGGGCAGGGAAATAGTAATTCAGCTCTGATCCATTAGCCCCATACAAGGAGTGAATGCTACTCAAGTTCTCCAGTAATACATTCTAGAAGAAAGAAGGGGACCGATATTGCCAACGGGCTCATCCAAGGAAGAGATTTAAAGGTGACTCTTCAAAGAAGTTTTGACATTGGGAAGAAAGGAATGAGGTTTGCGTATAGGCCGAAACAGTCCACGATAAAACATTAATTCGATCCTAAATCAAATGTAATTGTTTGGTAGACTTGATCGGAAGCACCCTAAAAAGCAGGAGCCGTCATAAAAACATTATAAAGAAAGTTAAATAATTATACTTTATCTGGAGAACTGTGGTGTGACTGGAAGTCAGTATTGTCAATTAACAAACTTATTCCGAAAGATTACGATGAATGGCAACTAAAAGTAGATAGTTAGCTACGCTCAAAGTCTCCAGAGGCTTCCATATTGAATTTTTACTGTTTACAAATCAAACTAAGTTGGTGGCACTGCAAATATGGAAAAAGAAAAGACTGCAGGCTGGTTTTCAGCTTCTTAGATCATTGCTAATAAGAATAGCTCTAGATTTAGAATATTTTTCTTGATGAATAAAAAAATCTCTCTCTCTCTCTCTCTCTCTTTTTTTTTTGCCACATAACTATGTTAGGTCTGGAAAGCTAGGGAAGTGAACTTTGTGCATTTTAAGGCAGGCTATAGCCAGGATGAGTTAGGAGATGCTAATTGGGTGTGGGGGAGGGAACTCTGTCTCACATTTGTCATCTGTATTTGTTCCTGAGAGTGCACACAATGGATCCGTGCCATGGTTCCATTATTTTACCTTTGAAACCCTTTTTAAGGTCACTTCAGAAAGCTCTTTTATACAACTCAGAAACTGAGCAAATAAGTGAATAAAACATTTTGACTATCATGTATTACTGAGGAAGAAAAAAGTAGTGGTTTATATTTGATATAGTAACTTTGGATAAAGTTTATTTCTTTCTTTTTAAATTTATTGTTTTTGTTAATTCTCACCCAAGGATATTTTCCCATTGATTTTTAGAGAGAGTGGAAGGGAGAGGGAGAGACAGAAACATCCATGTGAGAGACACACATCGATTGGTTGCCTCCTGCACACACCCCGACCAAGGCCGGGGAACCTGTAACCAAGGTACATGCTCTTGATTGGAATCGAACCCAGGACCCTTAAGTCCACAGGCCGACGCTCTATCCACTAAGCCAAACGGCTAGGGCCCCTCCCTCCCTCCCTCCCTCCCTCCCTTCCTTTTCCTCACCCAAGGATATGCTTTACATTGATTCTAGAGAGAGGACAGGAGAGGGAGAGGAAGAGAGTGAGAAACATTGATGTGAGAGAGAAACATGCACCGACTGGGGATCAAACCTGAAACCTCAGTGTGTGCCCTGACCCGGAATCGAGCCTGCAGCGTTTTTGGTGTATGGGACATACAATTGAGCCACCCGGTCAGGGCTGGATAAGGGTTCTTTTAATTAAAGTGATAGTTATTGATAAGATGGAGATCATAGTAGTATAAACTGATGGAAAGATTTAGGTATTCTGTACAGATACTTGGTTTTAAATAGGAAGGCACAGAATACAGTGACAAACAGGAGAGGCAGAGGAAAGCCATCTCACCCCAGAGAGCAACCACAGGCACGTAACTGGTTTGGAGGCAG